AGCCGGGAAGGGTTTTCTAATGCAGCTCCTGGCTCTCTTGAGTGGGAGGGAGCTCCCTATTACTGGAGGTATGCAAGCACCAATTTGTTAAGCCCTTGGCTGGGATCCTGTAGCCGAGACTGGAGCATCAGGAATTAGATGAGATGACCCTTAAACTCTCTTCTAACCTTGAGACTATATGGATCTTCCTGTCCCTCTAACAAAGGGCAGGTGTGAGCCAGATCGTCCATAAGGGTGGATAATCTCCAAGGAAGATACAGAAGCCCAGCGTGATTATAGAGCATTTTTGGACATGGGGCAGTGAGGACACTGGCCTGCAGCTTGAGGCCCTGCCTGTTTCCCCTCAATAGCCATTGACATCAACTCCTCGGATATCAAGGCTCTGTATCGACGATGCCAGGCACTGGAGCGCCTGGGGAAGCTGGACCAGGCCTTCAAGGATGTGCAGCGTTGTGCCACCCTGGAGCCACGGAACCAGAATTTCCAGGAGACGCTGAGGAGGCTCAACACCAGCATCCAGGAGAAGGTAGGCCGGGCCCCCTTCCCACAAACTGGACTGCCCAGCCCCTCCCCATTCCTAGCAGGGATGGGTTAGGGCAGTGGCATCTCCATGTTCTGAGATGCAGACGGCAATGGCATGGACACAGGCTCCACAGCAAAACTGAGCAGGCGCACTGTCTGTGAGTGCATGAAGCAGCCAGGGCTAGAGCACAGGTCTTTTAAATTTCAGAGGCTTTCAGAAAAGAATGCTTTAATTTAGTGTGTTTGCCACATGAGCTTATTGTTTAGGTACCATGAGCTACCTGGGATGAGGAGGATATTGGGGAGGAATAGAGGGGAGTCAGGACCCAGGAACAACGTAACATCTTTTCTAGGAAAATGCAGTGGGGTGGGGAGAACCTGGACCGGAGACAGCTCCTGCACCCCAATCCTGGCTCAGCTGCTAATCTCAGAGGGACCTGTTCGGGGATGTTGGTTTCTTCTCTGTAAGAGCAGGAGGGCAATTGATCCATCAGCCCTTTGCCCCAAGATTCAGAACTCCAGTGTATCTGGAACAGCTCTGTGGTGGGACCATAGCCTGCTACCCATGGCGCAGACTCAAGGACCAACAATGAAGAGATCAGAGCAGGATTGGGGAAAAGTTAGTCCTCCCCCCACCCCAGAAAAAATGGCGGGAGTGTGAACCAGCAGGACAAAGTAGCAGGAGGTGCATAAGGGGCTGGTGAGATGAGGGGTGATGATCATTTGGGTCATTTTAGGAAAGACCTAGAGCAGTGGGTTCGAGTGAGGTGCCTGAGGGGCTAGACATCCAAACTTAGTGGTTTCACTTTCCTGGAAGTGGTGCTAGCAAACTGCCTCAAGTTTCTGAGCCTGCCAGGTGCAGTGGCTCACACCTGTAATCCTAGCACTCTCGGAGGCTGAGGTGGGTGGATTGCTTGAGTTCAGGAGTTTGAGACCAGCCTAAGCAAGAGCAAGACACTGTCTCTACTAAAAATAGAAAAACTAGGCTGGGTGCAGTGGCTCACACCTGTAATCCCACACTTCGGGAGGCCAAGGCACATGGATTGCCTGAGCTCACAGGTTTTGAGATTAGCCTAAGCCAGAGCGAGACCTTGTCTCTAAAAATAGCTGGGCATTGTGGTGGGTACCTGTAGTCCCAGCTACTTGGGAGGCTGAGGCAAGAGAATAACTTGAGCCCAAGAGTTGGAGGTTGCTGAGAGCTATGATGCCATGGCACTCTACCAAGGGCAATAAAGTGAGACTCTGTCTCAAAAAAGATAAACAAGTAAACAAAAATAAATAAAAATAGAAAAACTAGCCGGGCGTTGTGGTGGGTGCCTGTAGTCCCAGCTACTTGAAAGTCTGAGGCAAGATGATCCCCTGAGCCCAAGAGTTTGAGATTACTATAAGCTAGGCTGATGCCACAGCACTCAACCCCAGGCCAACAGAAGAAGACTGAGTCTCTCACACACACACACACAAAAGAATATATATATATATATACACACACACACACACACACACACACATACACTCACTTAAAGGTATGAAATGCAAAGTCTAAAAAAAAGAAAAGAAAAAAAAGTTTCTCAGCCAGGAGACATATTTGCTTTAATTCCTATTTAAATGTCTATAGCTAATTTTTTTTTTTTTTTTGAGACAGAGTCTCACAATGCATCACAGCTCCCAGCAACCTCTAACTCTTGGGCTTAAGCAATTCTCTTGCCTCAGCCTTCTGAGTAGCTGGGACTACAGGCTCACAACACCCAGCTATTTTTTTGTTGTAGTTATCATTGTTGTTTAGCAGGCCTGGGCTGGATTAGAACCCGCCAGCTTCTGTGTATGTGGCTGGCGCCACCTCCATAGCTCATTGTTTACTAGCATTCTAAAGTCAGGCTGATGATCCCTTGCCTTCCAAGACTTTTGGGATGACCAAAGGGACAATGAATGTAACTAGATTTTGTTCACCATTCTCTCCCTAGCATCTGGAACAGTAGTTATTCATTCAGTCAATGTTTGTGGAATGAATGAATGAGTGCGCCATGGCCCAGGGTAGGTAGTCTTACAGTTACGGAGGTGAACTATGTGGAACCGACTGAAATGATGTGGACTGCCCCTGCCTCTTTCCCCGCTCCTTCCTCTCTCCTCAGCTCCGTGTGCAGTTCTCCACAGACGCCAGGGTGCAAAAGATGTTTGAGATCCTCCTGGACGAAAATACTGACGCTGATAAGCTGGAAAAGGTGAGCGCGGTTAACGCCAGTTATCCAGCAGAGGGCGCACTCTGTACCTGCCAGTCCCGGGAGTAGCCCCATTCTGGGGCATAGGGAGGCTGGGAGTTGGGGTGTCCTTGAGGAAATTGAAGGAAAATTGGCCAAATACTTACTATTAAAAAACTATACCGGCTCGGCACCTGGGGCTCATGTGGCTAAGGCGCCAGCCACATACACCTAAGATGGCGGGTTCAAATCCAGCCAGGGTC